GGTGTTAGATGTTGAATATACCTTGCCTGCAGCACATTCAGTAGGGGGATGTACATAAAATAACTAGAAGCTTACGGTAACCCAATTGGGAACTAAGTCACACTTGTTGATGACAAGAACAACTTGTTTGTGCGCTTTCTCTTTTTTCATATACTCGAGTACGGATTCGCACATGGTGCCAAGGGGGTCTCGAGCATCAAGGATATGCAGGATAACGTCTGAAGAGTCGATACCTTGTACAGCTCCCCATATGCGTCTTGACGTTCCTTTGGCGAAAATGGGTTCAATATAGTCTGCGTGAGTTTGCAGTTCGGGGACTTCGTAAGATTGCGCTACCGCAACGTCAGAACGTGATTGATTGGGAGAATTGGCATGTGATGAAGCACCTAATTCTAGAGCATTGGCCGCTTGTTCTGCGTCTTCCGCCGCGGCTGCGCCTAATTTACTTAGTTCCTCAAAAGTGCCCACGTCAATCCTGGCCTTCTTGCGCTGAGCTTTAGGTCCAAAGGTTTCACTGAAAGGTTCCGTTTCTACGATGTGGGATCGCTGTATAATATCAGCCCATAAACAATATAAAATTTGCCAGAACCTACCTTTCGAGTGTTAGGATTAGACGCATCGTCCAAGAGTGCCATGGTAATTTATTCCGGCGAAGTAGCACCGAGTATGGATCATCTTTCTTCGTCGAAAGACTCGTTCTGAAATGATCAAGAGCTGTCTGTGAGATCACTCGCGTATTGCCTATTATTTTTCATAAGTAATGGGCCTACACATATCCCGACGCAACTCACCAAACCATCTACGATCGGGCTGGACTCGGCCAGGTTTTGTCTCATCTTCTCCCTTCTGAAAAGCAGCAGCCTGGATTATCTTGCCATCCTTGTCCCGGATGGCCTTCCCCCCAGACAACATCTTGAGACGGGAGACTTGTTTCGCATTGCGGTAAAAGTTCTCGCCTTTTACTTTTTTGAGTGATGGTTCCTTGGATCCAGAAGAGCGGACCTTGGGTGAAGCCTTGGTCTTTTTTATGGGCGCCATCGTGCACTGTGCTATACGGCCGTGACGCTCGAAGACTTGAGCTTGATCTTCAAAACCTCGAGAAATGTACACAAAAATTCCCACGGCTTATTAGTCTTTCTTGCCAACTCAAGTTTTTGGACGAGGCGCGTTGGGTTTGCTATGTTGAAATCCTGCCTAATTAACGGTGTGTTCAGTTCCATGATGTTCTGACTATTCTGACAGAATGTAGTATCACAATCTGTCGCGTCGTCCAGCCGTTCATCACTCCATACTTCAGCAGTTCGCAATGCCCGCTTGTCGAGCAAACAAGCTCGACATGAGAAGGTCTCCAAGGTGCAGGCACGCATAAATCACAAGCTCGCATTCGATGCACAACGCGAATATGCTGTTCTCGGTCACCGTCCAGGGCAAGATCACAAATGGCAGAATAGTGCCCTTGCAAAGGCCGTCATCACGCAGGACGCGCTATACTCGGATTCTGTCCCTGAGATCATTCACAGTCCCGAAGGCGACATTGAGCTTCCGCCGCATCTAAGCTTTGGCATTAATGAGAGGTCCAAGGAGCTGCTTTTCAAAGTGTTACCTTCGTTGTCAGCTCAGGAGGGCGTGACCAAGTTCAGCGAGAACGTGGTTAGCGAAATGCAAGAAGCGATGGAAAACGAAAAGGTCAAAGCGAACATGTTCGCAAAGGTTATTGATTTGCGTAACGCAAATGCGAAGGGTCTCGCATTCGAGAACCGCCGCCGTTGCATTAGCTTTTTCGCCGCCGGGAAATCCATTTGATACTGGCCGCCCTGAAGTGCAAGGTGCTTACCACAGAATTTTTTCACCGCTGACTTATGCTGAAGCCTTCTGGATGTAGCCGCCTTGCTGACAATCCAAATACGTGGGCTATGGAAGCACCTTTTGACTTTCCGCAAGGACATAGATAATCGCAGGGGCCTTCGTCAGCTTGTGCACAAGCGGGCCAAGATACTTAAATATTTGAGGAAACTCGACCGTGACCGATATGAAGCTATTCTTCCTCGACTTGGGCTCGACGCTGCGAGTATAGAAGGAGAGCTGGTAGTTTGATCATCATCTACAGAATTATCTCACTTAATATACTTCGGCAAGCGAGTCGCTCTTGTTTGAATGACATCAATAATTAAAACTCTTTCATTGGTATGAACCTGGAGAAGAGGATGTATGTGTATGTAGAATGTGTTAAAATTCGTTGTACAAGAAATGTGTCCAGTGATATTAAGACCAAGCTAAGTATGTATTTGTAGGGGTAGCAATTATGGTGAATGTATTGTTCCAATCAGAAGATAGGGAAAAAAGAGTTACCCAAATAAAAGTCATCCTCATCATCGTAGTCTCCATAATCATCATCATCATCCTCAAAGTTGAAGAAACCATGCCCAGGTAGAGGAACATGAGGTGGCCTTTCCATTTGCAAAGTGACTACGGAATCAGAAGTTTGAAGTCTGGTCTGCGGCCCTGCGGTGCTTCATAATCCTTGTAATAGTCTTGATCTTCCACAGGCTCTTCGATGCCATGACTAATGTTACGAATTAGTAAGCAACAATATCTTCAGTGCGAGAAAAAGCGCAGAACGTGCATTGTAGAAAGGTGATTCTTCATCTTGCCAAGTTCATGGCATTCTCTCTCCTGTGGTAAATCCATGCAGTGGACGCAAAGCCAGATGACGCCTGCAGCAGGTTGGGTGATATCTGCGAAAGGTGGAAAATCGAAAATGTGTATATGCATATTGCGAGCATTCTGGTTGGACTCCTCGAGTAATTCACCCTCGAGTCTCCTCCATTTAGGTGGCTGTCGGTCAGGGCGATGCTCCCGTATTCTGTGCTGAACCTACAAACAAGTTAGAAGCCGTGAAATCAGAGACACGGAATAGTAAAGCACAGACCGCTGAACGCCAAGTGAAGACGGGTACCTCGCCTTGATTCACCTCATGCTTGGACCACCTCATGCAGTCCAGGCAGGCCAAGTGGGGATCTAACTCATCCATTTTGGTCGCAGTGGTGATGAGCGGATCTTCACCGCATGCCTCCACAACGGTACGAGCAGCCTTGCTTGCCTGTTCATCCACCTGCAGGAGGTGGGCGTTCCAATTTGTGCGGGTGCTCATTGGAAAATCAATGCGGAAGTTGGGGTCGTCCGTGGCAAAATAGTCCCAAGGCAGCGTTCTCGATCTGGTTAGGCAACAATGTCCCATGACTTTGGGATAGAAGAGGGGAACGGATCTGGACCGACGTCCGCCGAGAATATCAAGGAAATCGTCATATTCACTATCGGACGAATCACCTGGGAGTCCAATGGATGGAGTGCATGTTTTGCAGCGAAACACAGTCGTCGCTAAGGGAATCATCTGATCGATCTCAGCGTCACCGGGCACTGGTAGCGATACCTCCTTTTTCTTGCCTTTGACGTCTATAGTAGCACCAAGGCTTTCCACGTACTCCTGGTATAATGGATCCGATGTCACTCGCTCCGCAGACGCACGCCGCTTGCCGGCAAAAAGCAGATTATCTTTGACTCTAGCCCTGAGCTGGGAGTGGATGTGAGTGCGCCAGGAGTTGACTAAGTCATGCATTCGGGAAGAAACTTCCGCAAAGGACGCTTCCGTAACTTCTGTCTCTGTGGGCATTTCAACAATTGCCTTGACCTCGGGGAAGGAACAGAAGTCCACTGCCTCTGGCATAACACCGGTGAATGGGAGGTGAGCGATTTTATAGCGACGCAGAGCCCCAATGGCGGTACGCTTCCGGGCAATAAGCAGGGCCTTGCGCTCGCGCTCAAGACGTCGTGTTTTCATTTCTTCCATGTACTTGATCATGTCGTTCTTGATGTTATTCCAGACTGAATAACTATAGAATTGGGTCGGAATCATCAATGGAAAAAAACAACTGCGATCCGTCAGGCGGGTTGGGTTGCTTGACTAACTTGTGATGGCTCAATCGTCTGTGTATGGGATATGTTCGATTTCATCACCCCAACCAATTTCAGTAATAGCCTTTCGATGATCCTAGGAAGTGTCAGGTTAAGTGTTGGGGCAATCACGAACTTTGTATCTTACGCAGTTTTCCTGTCCCGCCTAGCATCCTCTAGTTGATCGGACGGTCTTTAGCTTGAGACTGCTGCCCATGCTTCTAACGCTTTCGCTTGCTGTACAGATATGTTTACAGTGCTAATATCACAGGGAAAGATTACTCACCGTTTCCATTTTCCTTTACGAATGCCCTTCGCTCATTCGCGATAGGCTTCAAGCCACTGAACCTATGAGGAGATGCAAATTCTTCTGGACCTCTCGACATCCTTGCGGTAGAATAGAAGACGACCCGTTCTGTAGATATCACTCAAAATCATTCTTAGATGACGGAATAATGATACAGACTGCCATATTTACTCGGAACAAGGCCACTAATTACGGACTCCCCGTGGTAGGCATCTACCATGCTGTCGACCCGATGAGCAAAGCCAAGTGTTTGAACCGATATACACACCAGGTCTTGGAGCACTTTGCGCAGATACGCCTGCCGATGCGCCAGTCGACGTTGCGCACCACCAGGAGCACCGCATTCCTTTTTCTAGATGTAAGAAGCATATTATGATTAAAATTGGGGGCCTACGTGACAATGCGGATCAAAAGCTAGGTTCGCATAGTGGGGCTCCGTCCAGAAAGGGGGACAATCTGGCATGTTTGGCACGTTGTCTCTAGCGTTTTTCCATACGGACATTGAAGAACGATGCATGAGCACGCGTCTAAATTCTTTCGGTCGTACGAGCCAGACGAAGTATATCTAAAGGATTCAAGTGGCCAAAGACCTGAAGCATATTTAGATACTAGACACATAGCGACAGTAGCAAAAGGGGCAAACCTCGAATAAGACGTCCAGAGGTAAATTCATCAGGGCGGCAAGTTTTCCCGGCTTGGGCTGCCATTTAGCTCTTCTTGCACCGACTTTGATGACTTCGACATTTGGCTGATTTCCGTCGACGTCAGACCCACGCATACGCTTTTTGGGGGGTCTGCGGGGCTTCTTGCCGTTATCGACGGGCGCTTGTGCAACCGAGTTTCGTGGTCGCATTGTCGACGAACTGCTAGTATGCTGCCAATCAAAAAAGAATTATAACAGAAAAGTTACTGTGATGACGGTGGAAAGAAACAAGAAACAAGAGACGGTAGGATTCGGTCGGAACCCAATTTCCATCGTCTTGGGCTCACTGAGTTTTCTAATAAACGGCAATTTCCGCTCTTCAAACGCGTCGCGTCTGCACGTGAGGTGCACCCTAGCATATCATTCCTGCTCTATTCTGAGTATATCATCATCACTGACGATGGCGGCGGTGAATGTCTCTCAGATACTGGCAGATACTTTAAGCGCAGATGCAAATACTAGGATCGCTGCTGAACTCAAGCTTTCTGAGGTTCTGCTCCATCAAGGCTGGTTTTCAAAATCGCGACCATTGACTGCAAATCTGATGTTTAGCACGCGTTCATCAGAGGCAGCTCTAGCTCTGGCCCAGCTTATTTTAGCACAGGACGTTGATATCCCGCTCCGGCAGATAAGTTCTTTCCCTTCTTGCTGCGATGTTTGCCTCTTTATCTTGGATCTTACCTAGCACTCAGCAAGCATTGTCCTCCGAAAATACGTAAAGGAACGATGGTCTCCATACTTTGAATCGTTCAAGGGCAACGCACCTTCAGTAGAGGTATGCTTCTCGACATTATCTGGGTTCATCATATCGATCTTCTACAGATCAAATCCCGAATACGCCATGCTGTCTTCCAAGGCTTATCAGACTCGAATCGGAAAATCCGGTCTTTATGTGTGAGTCCCAACCCAACTTGAGCCATCGGAACACTTATATCTCAATTTTTATGCGAAGGCTCATACAATGTCATATATTGGGAACTGCGATTGGCCAGATGAATACCCTGAACTACTCAACTCCCTTATTTCCTTGATTTCTTCAAGTTCTTCTGACGCTGTGCATGGCGCGATGCAGGTGTTCACCGAATTTATAAAATCGGACCTCACCGAAGATCAAATTTTACCTGTATTGCGACAGCTTCTTCCCGTCTTGCTTACTATCCTTGGATCCACGGAGGTGCGATCCAACTTCTGTTCTGAAGTTTTGTTTGTGACTGAAATTCTGAGAATAGCAACATACACCTTTGACTCGGGCGCGAACTGTGTCCGTTTTTCGTCAATGCGTGACAGCACTCTACATGGTCAAAGATCAACACCCACAAGCTGTGAAGGAAGCTACTGCAACCATTCTGCCAGTCTGGTTGGAGGCATTCAAAGTACTTCTTAACCTTGACCCTTTGAAGGACGTATCCAACGAGGATAACTGGGATGGATTAGCCGTCAGAATCCAGGTCTTCAAGGTATTTGATTAAATACACGATCCGACAGGCTTCCTTATGCATGCAATTTCAGACACTGGACGTCATTCACACATCATTCCCTCGTGCCATGACCTCGTACGTTCGTGGTTATCTAGATGCATCCTTGCGTCACCTTCAGGTGATGTCCGAAACATATGATACATTCTACGTCTCAGGATCCGGAAGTGCCCCTGGGTCATCAGAGGAGGAGACAGTAGAAATACCGCACCTCATCTGCCCTTTGTTCGACTTTGTTTCGAATGTTGTCAGAGGGGGGAAAGCGAAGGAATGGCTTCAGATGGAGAACCTGAACAGTTTGGTCTCCGCGATTTTCAATTATTCACGGATGACGGCGGATGACGTTCGTCCCACCCACGTCTTTGCTTTTGGATGTCGATTGATTGACTACAGGAAGAGACGTGGGCGACAAATGCCAATGCTTTCGTAGCACATGAAGAAGATGACACACAGGCCTATGGCGTCAGAGTCGCTGGCTTTGAGTTGCTATATGTGCGTGCTGGGATAGACCCATTTAAAAGAAGACTCATGTCTTCCGCAGACTATTCTCAACCGTTCTCCCGCCCAAATTTGTGCTACCTTCCAGACTACGATTCATCAGGTCATTGCAACATCACAGAGAGCACGAGAAAATGGGTCAACTGCTTGGTAAGCTGCTGAAAATCGATTGCGTTCAACCTCTAATTGGTCGAGCACAGGTGGAAACCACTTGAAGCATCCTTGGCTGCGATTGGCTCTCAATCCGAAGATGTCCTCGAGTGCATTGAAAATGAACAGGATTCCAGCCGAGCAAAGCCTATTGATGTGGAGGATTTGCTTGCCAATGTCGTTCCGTCTGTCTTAAACCAGTCGGGTATGCATCACGCGTCTTCACGTGGGGTTCACGTTATTTGATATCTCTCCAGACTTTCCATTCTTGCAAGGCAGAGGTTTCGTATTCGCGAGCCAGTTTGCCAGGCTATTGCCGTTACAGATGGCTGGTCAGTATTTGGAAGCTGCTATGCATGTCATTGAATCGAATGCTGCTGGGATTCCCGTGAAAATATCTGCTGTCAAAGCCATTCACAAGTATGTGTTGTGTACTTCGAATGGCACCCATCTAATACCTCAGCAGCTTCTGTGAAGGCGCGGAGGAGTCGGCTATTACGCCCTTTGTGTCGCGGATTGCACAGGACCTGGGGCCATTCCTACTGGTAACGACTGAGGACACGTTATCCTTGGTTCTCGAGACGATGTCGGTTGTTCTAGATGTCAACAGGGCTCAATGGCTCACCACTGACTTGTCCAATTCTCTCGTATTGGCCGTCCTGGAAGTCTGGGCGAAAAACAACAAAGGTAGAATAGACCTCACCTCCACCTTTCAACAAACTAATCGGAGATCATAGATCCCATCTTCCTATCAATTTTCACCGAAATATTCACCTCGCTGGCCTCCTCGATTGGCACAGGAGTGTACGAAACGGTTGTCAAACAGGCGCTTCCCACTCTTTGTACTGCCATCGCGAATTCCAAACCTCAAGAAGCCTGGATAGCAGGGTCTGCCATTGACTTGATCTCAAGCCTCGTTCGTGGTGCACCCGAAGGCGGCCTTGGAGACGGCTTCTTCGCTCTCCTAGCACCTAGCTTGTTTAGCTGCCTTAGTGAAGCAGAAGATCGTGATGTTCTACAAAACGGCATGGCGTGCCTTGCTTTGATAGTCCGCAAAGACTGCAGGCAGATCCTAGAATGGCGGGGCCAATCCGGTCAATCCGGTCTCGATCATATTCTGAAAGTTATTGCGAAGCTCCTGCAAAACGACGATGAATCCGGTGGTTTGGTCATTGGTGATCTCATCATCCACTTGCTGCGTCATGCAGGCGAAGCTGTTCTCCCAGTACTTCCAGAGCTTCTTCAAGCTATGGTATTGCGGATGCTATCGGCCAAGACGGCCACATTCATCCAGAGCCTTGTCATTCCATTCGCGTTCCTCGCCTATAACCAGCAGGACACAGTGTTGTATTTGCTGGAATCTACTACGACGAATGGCAGGAACGGTCTCGATATCCTCATCCAGACGTGGTGTGAGAACGCAGAGACGTTCCAGGGCTTCTGGCAGTCGCGTGTTAGCACACTGGCGCTCACAAAATTGTACGCCTCTGGTCGTCCAAGCCTGCAATCATTGATGGTCAAGGGCGATATTATCTTGAAGCCGGAGACAAAGAATGGTGAGTCTTCATTCTGCATAAAGAATTACTCTTTTCTGGATATTCAACGGTTTCTGCTTGTGCTTCCGGGACAGTGATCATGACCCGGTCGCGAACGAAGACGAGTATGCATCATTTGCCTATCTCTTGTTCTTTTTGCTCCGTTTGGTACTGACTTTTGGCGGCGCAGCACCACATGAATTTACATCAGTGCCTTTCCCTGTGAAGGCGCTTAAACTCCTCGTGCACGATCTCAGAGCTGGGGGCGACTCTGCGACGATCCCCAAAGCCGAGTTTGATGTGGACTCGGACGATGGTGTACGTACTGTTTGCAGGCTCCTTTATATGTCCTGCTAAACGATATACAGGATGAAGAATGGACAGAAGAAGAGCAACAGAATCAGGGCTTCAAGCAAGAAGAATTTGCCTTCCTCTCTGAGATGCTGGGTCCCCGCGGCGTCAACTTTGATAATGACGACATTCTTGAAGAGACGGATGATGAAGACCTTAGAAACGACGCCATCTCTCAGATTGACATGCAGGTAGGTGTTGCTGGCTTAACGGTGACTCGTACGTGCCTGACAGATATTTCAGGCGCACTTGGTGACATTCTTCAAAGAATGCGCATCACACAATGTCAACAACTTTTCCGCAAGCATGGAACAATTGTCGGCTGAGGAGATTATGGTTGTGCGCCACGCTATTGATCACTGAGTTTGGATGGTCTGTTCCCTACTACGAAATCATATTGTACATGAAAGCAGGAGCGTTATGTGATGATGGTATTCTGTCCCGTAGATACAAATTAGTATTGCTGACAAGCAACTCTTAAAAACCCTCCTTCCCCAAGTCCCATTCTCGAACAGTCCCCCTCTTCTTGTACTCGATGTCCATAATGTTATCCCCTCCACTAGCCCAACGATCAGCAACTTCACTGTCTGCGCCTTTCTTGTTGGCCTTGTCTTTTGATATTCCGAGACGTTCAAGACGTTTCTTTTCAGCTTTATCTTCTCGCCGTTGCCGAATGAGTTCAAGCATGGCGTCCCAACCCTCGAACTCTGCGTCACTGACCAAGCCAGTAGCAGGTACGGTGGGGACAGGGAGTGTTGTGACATCGAGTCGGGGGTCGTAAGACTCTTGAAAGTATTTGTCCATCTTTGAGGGAAGCCGCGCGGGCGGTAAAGGAGGGGGTGACGAAGACGGTGACCGAACGCTGTGGTATGAACCTGACGAAGTGACTGCGTGTTGGGGTCGGCGTGGTGGAGGGGAAGGTGAAAAGGTACGAGGGGGCGGTTTGGGAAATTCGTTGGGAGCTCCTGCTTGACCCTTGAAAGAAGGTAGAATTTCCCCTGTGGATTCCACAGCTTCATCGTCTGGGGATGTTTGGGATGACCGGGAAGGGGACCGAGTGGTACGACGACTCAAATGCCGCGTCTGCTTGGTGGTCTTTCTATGATCATCATCAGATAGAGATACTGATCGCGTCCTTTTCTTGGAGACCGGAATCCCTGGAACAGGCTGTGCTAGCGAGTCGGTGCGCCGTGGAGAAGTAGAACGGCTCGTATGGCGTCTTTTCCTTCTGGGATTGTCGTCATCATGTCGTCTACGTCTTATATGTTGACGGTGATCGAAAGAACTAGCTCTCTCGGAAGATGGTGATCTCCGGCTGCTTGTCCTGTGCTTCGTATCACTATTCCGTTCCTTTGATGGTGAACGTGATTGATGTCTCCTTTTGCTGGGCCTGTTTCTGTAGTGACTGTCATCATCTTTATCATCTTTGTAATGCCTCCCAGGACTCTTTTCTTTCCCCTTGTTCCGGTCTTTATCCCTCCGTCGGTCACGTTCCCTTCGAATACCCCAACCATGTTCATCATGGTCAGGTCTCCGTCTCCTCATGCGTTCGGCAGCGACAGCCTCTTCCGCACGAGCTTTCCTATCTCTGCGCTCTTGCTCATCTTTCTCCCTTTTGATTTCCTGTGCAGCAAGCGCCTGTGCGCGTAGTATAGTCTTGTTGTGATCGTCTGTGCTCTTAATGATTGAACTGAGGAAACGCTTGTTCGGGCGAGGCGCATTTGGGTCAGGCCTAAACAAATCTTTGATAAGTTGATGGTTTGATTTTTTTTAGATGGTAGACTCACGCAGGTGGAAGATATGCCCTAATTCCTACGGTGCCGTAGCTTTCGGCCTTCTGTTTGGCTTCCCTCAATATGAGTTCTGCAACGTGTCTGTCAAGGTCGTCGTCAGTGATGGACGGAGAAACGGCTGTCCCCATGGACGCCCGGACGAGGTTTGAAACAACGGAGGATAGCGACGACTTGGACATGTTTGACAACGTCCCTCTGAGAGTGTTCGGCAATCTGAATCCCACAGCTATATTTGTCATTGTTTGGCTTATTGTGGCTCCCGGTCCGTCGGCGACCTAGGTGCGGATCATAACTCGCTCTCGGATGCATCTTCACAGGCGAACGAACTTCAATTGATCCAAGTACGACATGGCAATTTTGAGACTTGTCACTTCCGAAATCAAACTTTCCGCAGGCGTCGGCTCGATCACATACTGCTTGATCTGTTAAGTTAAGTACTTGACGAAAACAAAAGACTCGGCCAAGTACGAGAAGGTCTTTGAATGAATGGTCTCGTGTAAGTCTCGCGTGATTGTTTCTCCGTAGACGACGCATGACATGCTCAGGGGAGCTCCGCGGATCGATTCAAATCAACTTGTAGAGTTCTATGGTAATTCAACTCCAAGGCCTTTTTGTTTATCGGTCCTGCTCGATCCGATACAATAGCAAGGTTTACACTCGGTCATGGAAGGTCATACATGTGTTGTTGTATCTCAAAGCAATCGACGATATACCCCAGACTCAGTGTACGTCCCCTTATCGCTGACGTCAGTAACGTTAAAGCGGCTGATGCACTCTGTGATCAACCTCACCGAGATCAGTCACTATCAGCGGTATCACGATCAGCTCCCCAGTATATCTGTAATCTCTTTGAGAGTTGTTACATGTGGCGCAATCCCCCCCCTGTTCCATCACTCCGTTCTGATCAAGTGAGATAATCTCAACGCGCGGCCTCTTGCTGCAATCACGATCTCAGTCCAGGCAAGAACGTAATTGCCGATCGGCCACCAATACACGTTCCCTAACTCCCTTCAATGAGCGGGTGCAACCGCGGCCCTTCATGAGCTTTCATTACAACTTATTACTTGTGAGAACACGACCGTCGCGTGTAAACCTGTGTAAACTCGCGGGTGCCTTAGTAAATCAGGGGGAGGACCAAAATTTTCTGAAAAAAATACTATTTCGCCTCCGACTCGTTGAAGCAGAATCCAGAACCCTTTGAGTAGAACATCATTTCACGTCCGACTCGATTTGAAGCAATGTGCCGTCTGCGATTAATTTATACATTGTCATCGCGGCATCGAGCGGGGTTGTGGGGGATTTAGTCTATCGATTGTGATTGATTGGAGTGGATTGCTTTTGTCTGAGCGCCAGAAGCTTGAGGGCCGTCCGCGCGGCAACAACCGACAGTGGGTTGCCCCTAGCAGTGGAAGAAGGTTTTTGACAGAACGGAAGACATGAAAATGAGTCATAATGACGGACGGTGACCGTAAGTCGTGGGATGTAATCCAATGGCACTGGAATCAGGGGAATATCGATAAATCCGAGTCGGCTGAAGGCATAGGGAACTACATGTCCCTACTATGTCCTTCCTAATTGAAGGAAGACTTCCCAATCGATGATGTGTACAGACCGTCATCGGAGAATTTGTGGGCTCTTCGTAGGGTCTCGTTTCAGTAAACGTATAAGCTTCGTTAACGTTCCGATTTATTGAGATTTAAAAATGGAAGGTGTGAACCGTGTAGACGGAGGTAATTAGCCCATCTGCTTACCATCATTGCAAGGTTCGGAACAGCGCGTCTCGTCATCATACTCCGGCGGCAGTGTTAGAGATTTGTTATGAGCTGTGGTCATTTCATTTCACCGCCTTCATATAAATATGGTTCCACGGAATGCGTTGAAACCAATATTCAGCCTGCCAAAGCTGACCAAGTGCTGACTGAATAGCACTTGTTCTATACATCGCGTATCTTAATCAGTGATCTAATATCATGACTTTTTGCGGATACTTACCATATTCCGGGCCTCCAATGGTGAGTAGTTTGATGCAGGTCGTCGGGGCGCACGGTTGACATACGATATCTGCAGGTTGTGGAACACGAAATATCACTCAAATTCACGTCTAGTCCTCCTCATGACTCGGAAGTTTACGACAACATTCAAACACCGCGCGTGCCTGCTAGCGGCATTCCTATTGAAATTGTGCTGACCATCTTGGAGACCGCGTACTTCGATGATAGAGGTGGTCCTGACATCGACCTCTTAAGCAAGTGCACACTTGTTTGCAAAGCATGGTCGCTCCATGCTCAAAAGCTTTTGTTTCGACGAGTTCGCCTCCGCTCGCACTCGGCGTTTGCTTCATTTACTCACGCTGTCAACCGGAATTCTCCGCGCGGGCGAATACTCGGTGACGCCGTTGTTCAAATGCGTGCTGTCCTTGATTATAACCAGCCTGGTTGCCTCAATCAATCGTCACTCGCTGTTGCAGTGGCTAATTGCCCCAATTTGTACGAGCTAGACCTTGCTCAGTACGGGTACGTGGCTGCTGGTAAAGATGTCGTTGGAAGTCCTGCCCAAGAACGCATGCGGCGTCCCGCCCCGTCTTTTGACGAGCATTCCCTAGCATTACTTATTGCTGGCCCGCACATCACGGCTTTGAACTTCAGCAACTGGTCCGAGAACAATCAGTCCCTTCTCCAACTTCTTGAAGTTTGGCCTTCTTTGAAATCACTCTCCATCACTGGAACATCTCCCGTTCTATCGCCTGGCATGACGTATCCACCATTCCCCTGCGCTCTGGAAGAACTGCGCTTGAACTGCCAAAGAGAACCTGCCAAGGAATTTCTTGACTGGCTCTTGCATCGCTCCGCGGAAGAAAAGAGTTTACGAGTCATTGACCTAGAACGTCAGCCAAGTCCCGAACTTTTAGACTTCCTCGTCGAGAAGCACGGCGAAACGTTGCACTCGCTAGCCATTCCATCTTTTGCCACGCATGAGCACGCACATGCGGCGATGCGATGCCGCTCTCTTCGTGAGCTTCGCACCGAGAGCTCATGGTCTTCTCCTGTCATTTGCCGTCAAATGCCAGAGACTATACAACACCTAGCATTCGGGCTGGACCTGGATACCCTTCTCAATCCTATCGTTGATCTCGTCAAGACTCGGGACGACCTGCAAGCAGTAACAGTTAACCTTTGGCGCGACGGCCACCGTCATCCGCAGTTCGCATTTCTCCAGATGGCGTGCGCATACCGCGGTGTTGATCTCCGTCTAACGCGGGATGTGCGAAGGATGCGCTTGTTGGTAGTGAGTAAACAGCCTTCTTTCCTGCTGTAAAATTGACATTGATCGACCGAATAGCGCGGGGATCCAGTTGTGCCGCCGACGTACCCACGCATTCAGACTCTCGAGAGCATGCAACCTGCTATCTGCCCTGTTTTTGTGGCATAATCCGACGATTGTGATTCCATCATGACACTTGAAGAATCCCATTACCTACGAGTACCAATATATTTGTCAATACTGTGACACGACTCCCATTCTACGTCGGCTTTTGCATTATCATGATCATCTTCTAATCACACCCTATTC